GTACCTAGAAATAAAACATAATAGCTTATTTAATAATGTTAGGAAATAGTATATAAACTTGATAAGTGAAAATCATACTACAAACTGAAGAAATTTGGTTCATTGACACATTGTCAGCAGTATTCCTGAGAAATTTTGCTTATAGATATTAAAAACTTCATACTTTTTCTATCAGTTTATAAACTTTTTATTCCAACAAACTCTTCAGCAGCAGGTTAATAATGTAATGTAATTCCTGTATACATGACTTAGTGAGTGCAGTATGTACATATTGCTTAAATCACAGCTACAGTTCTAAATCAACTGTTTGGTCAAAAGTTCAATGTCAATAAAGAACAGCAAATAGGACCTGTGACATGCTATGTTTGCCACTGCAAATATGATAATGAGTTTTGTATTGATGCAGCTAGCATTCACATACTGCAAAATTACAATGAGTTGTATTTATTAATTCACATCTGATTACACCTTAATGATTACACATTAATTCAACCCAGAAATGTGTAGTCACAAGCCAGACACTTCCAGAAGTCACTGCTTCTGAAGCAAGCTGTGTGTGTGTGTATAGGAAATGTTATGTGTCAAGGTAAAAAACTACCTGTGATATACAACTACAAAAACAAGGATGTTTGTCTTCTGAATTACAGGATGGGACATTTAGGACTGTTTAAAGAAGTGTTGTTGTACAAAACATTTTACCCCACAATTCACGTTTAAAAGGAACTGTTCTTATCAAATATTAGTTTTCTCTAAGCTAAACACTGTTTTAGTATGTCTGTATTTTCTTTTCTTTGTTTTTTGTAACTAAAAATATAATTGCAAAAAAATGCTACACAGAAACTATTGTAGACTATACTTTGATTTTTCTTTTTAACTACTATTAAGTTCCTCTGTATTTATTGCATGTTGTTGGTAGTACCACCTAATATCTTTTGACTTTATTGATAATCAGACTCACATATGTATTAGTTGTAATCATAAGAGATCTTTCATTTTATTTGAAACAATGTACTCTAGAAAATAAAAAAAATGATCAACTCACATTTCTTTAAAGGAAAGAAACAAAGTGCTAGGATAATTATTTTAGTAATTGTCATAAACATTATCACTGATAGAATTGTACACAAATCATGTAAATATCCCTTGTAGGGGTCAATTTGCTAAGAAACAAAAAAACTTGTGTGCATTTTTTGAAATAAGGTTGTTTTTTTCTAGTCACTTCCTTTTTCTTGATATGAAGGTATAGTTTGTTTTTCAATGTATGTTGACTGCTTATTCCAATGGCAGTGTTGTGGTATTAAGTGTATGCTAAGCAACTGGTCTACTTAAGTGTAAAATGCATGCTATCAGGTTTTTATTAATACCAATTAGCCATAACTATCTGCAATAGCGAGGTTAAGAAACATAAAGTTTAAATTTAAATGAGTATTGATAATATATCTTTGTGAAGATTTTAAGTTAAACGTTAAGCACCATCACTCGTATTTTGGACTTACTTGTGTCATTATATACGCGAAGTATGGAAGTTTTAGAGGATAAGTTTGTATCAAAAGTACACAGGAATAACTGCTTAGTGGTTTTAACTTTTTACAACAAATACATATAGGTCACATCTGTTTTAGCACAATTTGATAGGATGAGGTTTTTTAGTTTTCATGAGGAAAAGACTTAGTAATTTTAGTTTTCTTGTAAATTTTCAATTTTTTTTTAAGCTCAGAATTCAAAATATGTTTGCAGAATATATCTACACATTTTGTTGTAAAAAAAAGTATTAAACCATTCCTCTTTGTAAAGTATGGAAAGAATAAAGGCTGTGCATAATTTGATATGCTGCAGTTGGTTTAAGCTGCTTTCCTTGGGAGTTTCATGTTTTAAAATACAGACTAAGTAACTAATATAATGTGTTCAGTGCCAACAAAATGATAATTTAGCACTTTAGGCAGAATATTCCAATGTAAATTTTACATTTGAGTTGTATTTTGAGTACAAAATATTCTACAACAGTTAAACGAAGGAACAATAAAGTTTAATTAGATCTAGTAGAAACAAAATTAGTTGAATGAAAGAAAGCCTAGTTTTAAAACTTATCCTTGAACATTTGGAAGGCAGACTGACACAAAAGCCCAAGGAATATTTGACAGATTAAACCACCAAAGACAAAAAGGTGTTGATTCTAGATAAATTCTTTTTAATATAACATCTCATCAGGCCATGCAGACTGACTGTTCAGCTACAGGAACCTGAAGAAGGGCATTGCCTGAAAAGTTGTATTAACAGAAGAATATATTAAGAAAATACATCCATAATTCAAATTCCTATTGTCTTTCTCTTTCAATAACCATCATGCATAATTTCATACATATTTTTATGACAGAAAGACCTATTTTACTAATCAAATATATAAGAAAGTATGAAAAAAAAATGGTTTGAGGGAATCATTTATCATGAATCAAGACAAAGAATAAGGTAACAGCAGTCTATAACTGTGAAAAATATTATGCATATAGGGCACTGCAAAATAAAACTAAGCAAATTTTAGTAAAATATAATTTCTTAACATCTTATATATATATTGCAAACCATGGTGTCTGTTCAAGTGTTTATCTGTCTTCTGTTTGAAAAGCTGCACATGCAGACAAAGCTCAACATTCACTTTCGAAATGACAGGAGAAGAGGCATAAATAATGTTGATGCCAAATTTTATTTTGCAAGCAGGATGTTCTACACTAAATTGTTAGGAATTAATCACACTGTCATTCACATTTCAAAATGTGACGTAACTTAAAGAATATAAATGTAGATTTACCATATGTTATTGTTGAGTGGTTCTTAGCATGGCTGAAATGTTCAACAATTACTTTTCTGAATGGTCAATCTAAGTAGCTCAGAGCTTTGAGTGAAACCAAGAGTGCGACACAAAGTCTATAGAATAATTTAAATTGATAGATTTTCTTAAACTTTCCCATCGCTGGGGATGGGTATTTTTACTTATATCTAATAAGTTCAAAAGGTCAATCATAAAACAGTAAAACTTTTAATACAGTGGAACAATATTCTTTTGTAGGTTGGTTATATTCCACTTGCTATCTGTTTATGTTTACAAATGGCTGCTAAACCAACTCTTTTTAAAGAAAGGTTTTAATTTTATTTTTCTAAATACTTCTACAGTTTCTGTTGCTGTAATGTTTGAACAAAATTTTCATGTCAATTGAATACAGAACCAATCCATCTGTGAAGTATTTTATTCTTTACCTATATTTTAAATCCTCTCTCACGAAGAATTTAACTTTCAGCTCAATGAATCTGAACTATAAGTTTTTATTTCTCACTTTAGGCATATGAGACATAGTTTTCATTAAAAGCTTAATGGTTTCAAAAGGTGCATACAGTTTTCAGATATAACATTGCTTTAATGTTTTTTGACAAATTTAATAATTTCTACACACACATTTCTGTAACATTATTAGATACTATAACTTTACTTCATTATTCTGAAACAACTGCATAGAATAAATAGCAAGTACTACATTGTTATTACTTTTCAATCAATATGATAATTAAAGCAAACAAGATAGTAACTACTTTTTAACATCATGTACAAATTAAGTAAAATGCAATAACCATTTCCAAAACAGTGATTACAAACATTTACTCAACAGAAATTCAATCATTTTTTTTCTGATATAGGATTAATTCTTTCTTCTTGGCCAAGGTCAGTCCTCTGTGTATTACTCAACCAATAATTCTGTTGTTTTACACCCAGTGCTAATTAAAGCAACTACACAAAAAAGCTGACTACTAGGCAGGGCTGCCAACTATACAGTTTTTTTTACTGATGAAAAAAAGTAGCCCTTTTCTTTACTGACTTCATTAAAAAAAAGAAAAACAGAAACAAACTATATTATAAAAATAAACTATTCTGAAAGGCTTAACTTTTTTTTCAAGTCAAAGCTACTTCTTATGGTCACAACCATGAATTTAGTGCTTTATGTTCCATGGTTGAAAAGTACGAATTATGCAACAGTTTCCTTGTGGCTAATTGTTGAAGTGCATCTTCAAAGGGGGGAGGGTACATAATAATAGAAAACAGTATATTTGATACAAAGTGGTGGTGAGAGTGGGTATATTGAAACTAACTGGAAAATTTACAATTAAAAATATATCCTCCTTTACTTTGAACCCAAATCATGGATATTTTTTGATGTTTATGGTGTTAAAATGTGATTTATTTTTTACCGACTGTCTATAAACTTAGACAGTTGGCAACCTTACTACCATGGTACAAATACTGAATTACAGTTACTGGCATGTAACAATTTGAGGGAACCAGACTGATGCTTCAATGCAATTTTACAGCTTCCTCTAATAAAACAAATTTTTGAATTATATTTCAACTCTGTTGATTAATTCAACAGTAACTAACTTAGCCTGCAATTCAAATACACTGTTATTCTTTAATATATATATATATATATATATATATATATATATA